ACATCTGACAATTCCTGGACCCTCCTCCTATACCAATGCCCCCTTTGACACCGGGATCAAAGCTGTCAGGGGCTCAGTCCCACCAGCATGGCTAGACCCTGGGGAAGTTTCTTCAGGATGTCCTTGGGGAAGAAGCCCGTGGTTAAGTCCTTGCCCAGGTCAGGTTAACTCCAAGTTTTCGCTGGAGTCCCAGTGTGAATCCGCCTGTGGGTAAAACAAAACAGAAGTTTTCCTCCCCACCCTTGCCTCTCAAGCTTCTGATTCCTCTGTCCCAAACACAAGCCATCCCTCACTACCCGCAGGGGATTGGTTCCAGGACATCCTCCCCCCCCCCACCCGCTTTTAGGGGATGGACCGCAGTCACATGGTCCACACTCCGAGGCCAGTGCTCCCCGTGACAACATACCACATCCGCCACCCTGTGGGGGAAAAGCCAGCTGTGCTGGCCCCAGCAGGACAGCGGACAAAGCGGGGGGCTTTTTGGTGGGCGTAGCTACACTGTGAGGCATGTGGGATGTTAGTTCCCCCACCAGGGATGGAACCCGTGCCCCTGCCATGCAAGTGCGGAGTCTTAACCCCTGGACCACCCGGGAAGCCCCAGACAACAGCACTTTGACTTGACCTCTCGCTTTTCAGAAAGCCCGATCGGCAAGTGACCGACCCTGAGACCAGCCACCTCTCCGTTCTCCCAGAAGCGCTTCACTGGATTCCAGAACACTTCTGAGACCACACCCAGTTCTGAGGGGTACTAGCCAGGGGTGAATCAATGCTCAAACTGGATGCTGAAGGTGCAAAACGTTTACTTCACCAAAGAGGAAGATTTCATATTTCACTGAAAAACAACTCCCCCAGCCAGCCAATTCTTGGTCTGTGGTCAATGGGAAGAGAAAAAATGAACATGTAGCAAGGTGTGCATGCTTAGAGAACCAAATTAGAGCCACACCTTCAGCAGAGAAGTTTACTGGGGGGATGTAGGAGCAGAGGAGGGGGACAGAAAGGAGGAAGGAAGGGTGAGACAGAGGAAAAGAAGACAGACAAGGGTCCTTTAAATACCAGAGCTTCTCAAGTGCAAAGAAAGGTACATGGAGAGCTTCTTAACAACCAGTGAGGCCTGTGTGAGCAGGGGAACTTCCGGTGACACTATCAGAGCCGCTGAACTGATATTCAAGGGCAGAACAGATGCTGGGAATGTGAAAGCCTGAGTCTGAAGCTGGACACGGGGTGTGAACAACAGCTACAGCCACTGCCAGACACGGCTGACCTGGCCCACTGAGAAGACCCGGCCGAGCGGACACCACCTCACGTGGCCAAGGCTGGCCATTGCCTGGGCTCCTTCAGTGATCTGGGGCACCAGGGTGACGTCCCAAAAGCCTTCCAACCCCAGCTCACAGCTGAAGTGAGCCTGGATCCTTCAGTTCCACTGCTGAATTCCAGTGAAGACCCAGTCGTCCTGGGGGGAATGTCCCTTATCAGTCACGTGGTCTTTGGTGTGAACTGACTCTGGAGCTAGTGACGAAGGATGGGCGATCACAAGGGGAGAAGCACTGCCCGCCTCATGTGTGCACCCATTAGAAACACACGGGACACCCCTCTATGGAGCTGGGGTAACGTCCACACTCTGGAGACACCCTTGTCCCAGAGGGCTCCCTGTAGGAACCAAGTATCTTCTCCAGTGAAATTCTGGCCACCAATCACTTAAGACATAGCCCTGTAGTGCAAACCATGCATCACACTTGATGGGCACCTGATAGCCCACCACCATCCCTTAGCGAGGCACCACGCAGCCCGTGGAATGTCACCGTGATCAGGGAACCTCTTAGAAGTGCAGAATCTTGGGACCCATCCTTGCCCTGGAAGATCAGGATCTGCTTTTTAACAAGACCCCAGGAGCATATACAGTGGCTTAATGCCCACAGGGTCCTATTCAGGCAGCAGAGCCAGGGGGCCCCACCTGACTTAGAACAGGTGTCAACTCTCATGTGACTTAGGGAAATGCAGGGGACCCTCAATGAAAGGGAGATTGAATGAAAAGGCTATCCTGTTTCCTCTTTCACTTACCTCCCTGCACCCAACTCTCTAAGCTGCAGCTCTGCCATCAACTCCGTGCCTGTCCATTGGGCAGACCACACACACACATCCCTTCCATCTCAGGAACACACACATCTCACACACACAACACACACACATCCCTTCCATCTCAGGAACACACACATCTCACACACACACACACACACACACAGAGCCCTTCCATCTCAGGAACACACACACACACACACAGCCCTTCCATCTCAGGAACACACACATCTCACACACACACACACACAGCCCTTCCATCTCAGGAACACACACCTCACACACACACACACACACAGCCCTTCCATCTCAGGAAAACACACATCTCACACACACACAGAGCCCTTCCATCTCAGGAACACACACATCTCACACACAGCCCTTCCATCTCAGGAACACACACACACCTATTTGGCTGTGTAGTGACTCAGCTCACCGAGCCCTTGGCTCTGAAAGCATCTGTCTCTAAGGGACGACCCTAGTATGAAAGACGTCCCCATTAGGGGGGGCTTCCCAGGTGGTGCAGCAGTAACAAATCCACCTGCCAACGCAGAAGACATAGGAGATGTGGGTTCGGTCCCTGGATTGGGAAGATCCCTGGAGGAGGAAATGACAACCCACTCCGGTATTCTTACCTGGGAAATCCCACAGACAGAGGAGCCTGGCGGGCTTCAGTCCGTTGAGTGGCAAAGAGTTGGACACAACTCGGCACACACACATCCCCACTAGAGGAATCTCAGGTATTGGAAAGCAGTGAATGATTTGGGTGGAGGGAGAGAGGAAGTGGAGTCCACCTCCAGTGAGCCAGCTTTTCTCTCTGATGCAGAGACCCATGTGTGGGTCTGGAGCTGAGGTACATCCCAGCTCCAAAACTTAGCAGGGGTGCCACCCTCATCGCTGCTAGCAATGCCAAGGGCCCTTTTCTGAAAATCCAGAGGAGGAGCCCAGGCCCAACCATCATCAAACAGCCCAAGAAACCACCTCCTGACCTGGTGGAGAAGCAGCCAGTCAGGGTTCAGGGGAGGATGGGTGCCACGCTCCGAGGAATGCTGGTCACCTGTTGCTGCCCCACAAAGACAAGGCTTTACACCTTTCTCAGGGGGCACACACAAGCCTTCTCTCCCACTTGCCTAGGTGGCATGGTGGGGTGGAACACTATGGGCCTCAGACTCGGACCCAAATGTGAACACCAGCTGTCTGATCCAGCCTATGACACTGAACTTCTCAGGCTCCTCCCATGTGAAACACCCACCTCCGTGGGTCACCTCAAGACTGAACACAGTATCTCCCTGGAGGACATCTGCACACGGTAGGCATTCAGTTACCCTAACAGCCACCTTTTACTGCATTCCTTCTGTGCCCCAGGCACTGTCCTAAACACGTCTCACATGAATTTAATGTAATTTCAGTTAATTTCCACAACAAACCCACTTAGGAGGAAGAAGACTGAAGTCTGGAGGAGTTAGGTGACTTCCCAAGGTCACATAGCAAACAGGTTTCCGACTTACCCAGAGCGTGGCCTTGGGCCTAGGCTCCCCTGTGTTCTGCTGCTGCTTAACAGATGATATCCTCTTGCCCTGCTACCTAAGGTAGCCTTTTGTTTCCATTTTTCATTTTCGTTCATAAGACATGGGATCAACTTGGGAGTAGGTCAAGGACAATTTCAGGTTAACAACTGGAAGAAATAAAACTGATCACAGGGAAAACAGGGGACACACTTGAGAAAACAGCATTTCCAAACCTGGTCCCACGCCAGCCTTCTCACACCTTCTCCTGCCCACATCACTTCCCGACAACACTAACTTCCAGTTCTCTGAAGCAGGTATATTTACCCCCCCGGGGCTGAGCAAGGTGTTTGCACAGGAAAAACAACAACAACAAAAATGTCCTTATGAAAAAATTGTTTTATAAATTATATGCCCAGTACATTAGAATGACAACGTGTGTATTTGACTTCTTAACACACACACGGGTGTAAGAAATTCCTTTAGGACAGTGTACACAGAGACCCACGCTTAGCAACCGCACTTTGGTCTGAATTCACTTCCAAACACTGTTGACAAACGAGCATTTAAAGCAAGCAAGAGGGCTACCTGGCCACTGACCAACGGTTCTGCTGCCGTCCTGGGCACTTTGTTCAAGCACCATACAGTGGACATTTGCCCGGGTTTTACAGCAATGAGTGACATAAAAATGAAAGTGCTTGCAGTAAATGGTTACTATTGGTCCCAAACTTAATACACAGAGAAAGATGCCAAACACCAGGAAGGCCAAGAGCAGACTCCCAGCTGCAAAGACACCATCCCTGTGTCAGGCAGACACAGGTGCCCTGCGCTCAGCTGGGACGGAGCTGAGACAGAGTGAGGAACGTGCTGGAAATACACAAACCAGTGACTGCATCCCAGAGGAGACATCCACAGATTCCAAATGCATCAACTGTTCTTGGAACAGAGCCTCCCTTTGGACAGGCTTACTTTTGGCTTCAACACGTGTGTCCAAGGATATCTTAAGACAGAGCTGGAAGACAGGAGGAAGCTCTGTTTCACTGCATGCAGAGTTTGCCCAGAGGCACCAGAGTTCACAGTCCAGAGCCCACAGTGCAATGGAGTCATCAACAATACTGTCGTTTATTCCATTTTTTCCCCTCCTGTTTCACTGGTCGAGAACAAAGAATGTGTCTATTTTTCAAGGCTAAGAAGCAGAAGTGTATCTGGATGTTCCTGGGCAGTAAAATGAGAGTAAATGCTCAGAGGCAGCAGAGATCTGGAGAAGGTACCGAAGCTGCTTGCTTCCAGCTGAATTCTGCTGAAGTACAGGCATATTTGAGAAGGTCTCCAGACCCCTGGATCCTTAGGGTACAAAGCTAGGAAACAGCCAAACCACTGCTAACACTCTGAGAAATACAAACAAACATGGAGACCATGGGAGCTGGCTGAAGATCCATCACTTTATTTTCAGAAAGAGATGGCCAAAGGGGACGAGGGGGCAGAGACACAGAGGCATTCCATCAACAAAGCAGAAACAACCCAGCTGGCCATCCAAAAACTGTAAATGAAAAACAATGCCAGCTGGTTTTCACCCCCCAACCCCCACCCTGCCTGCCACAGGTCACGTTTCACTGTGTAATAGAAATGAAGGTCCTTAGTCCTGGAGATAAAAGTAGATAGCACCTGGTGCTCCACCTTGGCAGGGAGACGGCGATGGCTCAGCTGCCCACTGAGTTGTCACTCTGAGACACTGCACGCAGGCCCGGCTGGTTTCCCTCGCTGGCGGCGTGATTTCCAGGCCTTGGCGTGAAGGAGACGGCTAGCGGCAGTTCATCTGAGGAACAGTGGAGCACTCTGAAACACTGCGTCCTCCAAATCTTCCAAGCAGAACAAGGCTCTGGACTCCCCAGATCTCAGGCACAGATGATGCACAGCTCATCCATGGAAGGTCGACAGTGCCTCAAGGCCCACTTCCCAGGCCAGCAACTTAGGTACCAGGGCAAGGAGGAAATACCACACACAAAACGCCAAGTCCTTTTCCTTGCAGCTCATGAGGTTCCAAAGCACCTTCCACAAACACCTAGAGGGATCCAGCACAAGTGATGGATCTTAGGATTTCGGCTACTGGTCTCCAAGAAACAGACAAAGGAGGCAGGGTGGCCTGTCTCACTGAGGAAGTTGGAATAAAGGATCCTTTTGTGCCCAGTGCAGAGCGTCCTCACTCTTACCCTTCGACTGCCATGACCTTCCAGGCTCTGTAAGGAACACACCTTCACAAGGCACCAGCAGGGCGCAGAGCACAGCTCAGAGTTTGAGATGGCCTGGCTGCTCAGTCCGAGCAGGGGCTCTGACTTCCACCGTGGAGCAAGGACACAGTGGCGGCCAAGGTGAGGGAGAGCCCAGGATGGGAAGTGGGAGATTGACGGACACCAGGCCTCTCGTTCTGCAAAGGCAATGGAACAGGGCTGGGCGGCACCAGCAGAGCTTTGGAGAATTAAACGGTTTACCTCTCGACCTGGGTGGGGCGCACAGGGGCCATTACGAGAGATGGAACGGGAGGAGTATTTTTGGTCCAACGCTGCAGGAGAAGGGGGCAAAGTGGAGGCTAGCAGACAGTTTCTGCGGCAGACTGGACNACCCACACCAGCCTGAAGCAGAGGCCTCCGAGGAGGTCTTGGGAAACACCCCGTCCGGCTTTCCTCCATCCCAGCCGGCTCTCCAACATCCTCGAGCAGGGACCCATGGGCAGAGCGCACGCGGCCTTTCTCCTGTCAGGCCGCTGGTCATCCTGCAGGGTGTGGGGAAGAGAAATGGATGAAGGTTAAACTCAACTTCAGGGGCGTCCCTGGTGGCTCAGCAGTAAAGAATCTGCCTGCCAACCCAGGAGATGCAGGTTCGATCCACGGGTTAGGAAGATCCCCTGGAGAAGGCAACCCACTCTAGTATTCTTGCCTGGAGAATCCCATGGACAGAGGAGCCTGGAGGGCTCCAGTCAACGGAGTTGCAAAAGAGTTGGACACAACTGAGTTAGCATACAAACTCAAGTTCACTCAAGACAGACCAGGCTCATTGCTCACCCCATGTTTACCTGCTCCACGTTTATACAGACCAAGTCATTTTTGGTCTTAGTTTTGCAAAACTACATACATAATATGATTTCCCCCCACCTTTTCTAGGAGACTCCTGGCAGCACCCTCCCTGCTTAAAGACTGTAGAGGCGGCAGGTGTTCTCACGCAGGGTGGCCAAGGTGCTGGCGAGCGGCAGGTCTTTGACCCTGGCGATCTCTCGAACTGTGTGTAAGGCCAGGCCCGGGTGGGCATACTGGCAAAGGCTCTTGGGAACCTGGAAGACACCAAGCATTGAGGACATCGCTGTGCTTCCTGTGCACAGCCGTCAGGCACGTGTCCCTCCCCGGCCCTCCCCGAGCAGGGCCTCTGGAGCTGTGTAGAGACCCCTTTACCTGCAGACGCAGGGAGAGTCCCAGTCATGGGGGCTCTGGGTGAGCAGGGTCCCACGCTTCCTGGACAACCCTCTACGGGGTAGGGCTTTGCACTGCCTGGAAGAGAGTGGTTACCCTTCAGCTTCTCAGCCCCCTAGACTTTGGTTCTGCAAAGCAACAGAGAGGAGACATCTACACAGCCAAGGGCGGGACCTGGAAAGGTCCTGGGGCTCTGGTCCTGCCAGCCTTGCATGGGTGACCGCCCACCTCCCACCCTCTCTCCTCAGCGCCTCAGCTTAGCTTGAAGACGGCCCTACCTGTCGAGGCAGGAAATAGGGAGCATCCGTCTCTACGATGATCCTCTCCAGCGGGATCTGTTTCAGAGCTTCCCGGGCCTCCCAGGCGGAGGAGTAGGTCAGGACGGCTGTGAAGCCCACGGACATGTTGGGAAAGTGGTCCAGCAGGGGCTCGATGACCGGGTAGCTGCCGGTGAAGCAGTGCCTGCGAGGAGGAGACTCCCACATCAGGGTTCTCTCACGAGCCACTCTGCCGAAACCCCAACCCCCTCTAGACACTGCACCTCTTCTAATTTTGGTGGACAGATTCTCAGAAATGCAAAGACTGCATCCAAGGCAAGGACTCACAGTCGACACAGTCAGAAGCAGAACTGACAATTGCAGCCCCTCTGGATCACGGCGACTGTGGGCAGAAATTACGTCCATGTAATCGAATAAACCGGAAGGGGCCGACAGCTGAATTTTTCTTCTCTTAACCTGATACCTGTCTATGTTCTCAGTAGCATATACATCAGCCCAGAAGGGCCCAGTGACTGCCTCATCTCATCTCTGGTGGCCGCTCCACTCAGAGGTGTCCCTCTTTGCCTGGGCGCCTGGAAGGCAGTGGTCTACAGGCCTGACAGCCCCACCCTCTTCAGCCACCTGTCACAACCGCGCTTGGGATCTAGACTCTGTGCTTTCTCAGTTAACCCGTCTCGCCCGTCTTGAAAGAGCCAGCTGGGCATCACCTCCTGGCCCCTTTGTAGCCAGAGGCAGCCAAGGGCCCGTGCTCTGGCTCCCTGCGCCCCCTCCGCCCCAGGCCCTCTGGGGAGTCACCAGCGACTGTCTCTCACAGCTCCTTCAGGGCCCCCTCAAGCCATTCCATGCCCAGAACGGGCACATGGCAGGAGGCTGGTGAGTTTACCCAACTAAAGAAACCCTAGATAACATTTAGAGGAGACACCTCCTGGACATTAAGGTGGGGAGGGGCGAGCTTTCAGATGCAAGCAGGGCTTCCCTGGTGCCTCAGACGGTAAAGCCTCTGCCTGCAATGCGGGAGACTCGGGTTCAATCCCTGGGTTGGGAAGATTCCCTGGAGAAGGAATCTCTAGGTGAAAATCAAACTGCAAGCAGGAGAGAAAATTTCCTTTCTGGTGCCCTGGAGTGTTCTCTGTGTGCCCAGCCACTGGACCCACAGCAGCTTCCCCCCAAATCAACAGCTCTCATTTCTGAGAACCGGGACTCCGTGATAACCTGCTTCATGGGATGGGGGTCACACTGATTCAGGGTGTTAGCTCAAACCATATGAAGCTGTCATTTTTTAGGTAAAAAGTGGTCAAGTATCAGAAATTCCTCATGGGTCAAAATGACAGTTAATCTTTTGAAAAGATTCTATGAAAAGACCTAACATTATCAACGCTCTTCTCACTGCATTTGTTTTTCCCAGTAACATCCTAGACAGAGGGACATGTTCACTTCATTTGCCCGCTGAAGTTCTAGGCTCTCACCGGTGAATCTTGTAGTCTGGAGGCACAAATTTTTTCATGATTTTCAGCAGATCTTCATCAGCTTCTCGGCAGTGGATCACCAAGGGCTTCCTTAGAGACACGGCCAGCTGTAGCTGCCTCTCAAACACCTGGAAGAAGGTAGCGACAAAAAACTGTGGTTGAGGGCCATTCTGGATGTCTGTTACCTCCAGAGCAGCCAGTCCAGTGGGCAACCCCCACCATCTCCCATTCTTTGTTTTTAAACTCATGTAGTAATAGCTAACACTTACTGACTGCTTACTAGATAGTATTATTATTTAGGTGTATTATAACCTGCAATCCTCAAAAACACCCAAAGATAGGGTGCTCAGCCCATCATGTAAAGAAACAGAGGCCCCAAGTGAGGTCAAATAATTTGCAGTTGATTAGCTGGAGCACCCCGATTCAAGCCTGAACCCAGGCTCTGCATGGAGCAACCACGAGGCAACGCTTATTTGGGGCTCCAGGGGCGGGTCAGGGCTCAGGAGCATCACTCCAAGATACGTGTCCTCTCCTTCACTGTCCCTGCTCCCTCCTACTCCCACTCCCCAGAGGGAATCCATCACCTTGCACACCTTTTCCTACGCAAAAAGTTGCCATGGATACATCTGCACAATGCCTGACTCCCAGAGGTGCCCAACTACTTGTGGAAAGAATAAATACTAAAGGTATTTCCTGCAACTTGCTTTCTTAACCAAAATCAGATCTCCTGCTAGGTGAACACCTACAGATACATTACATTAAAAACACACACAAAAAAAACTCTAGCCACTTTAAAAATCTTTGATGGTAAAATACACATGTTGCTAACAATTTTAATGAAAAAAACTGGGCTAGAACTTCTACTTTCCTCTAAGAAGTTCAGGTTTAGAAAAAAAGAACAAAAAGAGTAATTCATATTTCCATGAGTAGTTTTTTCAGTCGTGGAATATAATTCATGTTTGAATTTTTAACATCAAATTAGAAGATGTTTTTGAGTCAGGTGATTCACTTGAGAATGACATTTTCAAGTCCAACACTCAGTACTACCTCTTCTCAAGATAGTGGCAATGAGCCAATACCAATTCTGACATAACTCAGGTTTAACCTGTGTTTTCAACTAAAGGAAAGTGAGCCTGGAAACCAACAGCATGGAATGCTTTCAAGGACTTTAACAATGAGCTAATCCCAGTACACACAGCCCACTGGAGCCCTTTTTAACACATCTTCCCTCCTTGAACTCCTCCAGAGGCAGAGGTCTGCAAGAGATTCTAATTTCAACACTTAATTTTTGCTTCTAGCAAAAGCTACTAGTATAATCAAACTATTATAGACTTGGGGTGGAACATTACATGGCTGTTTAAAAAAGCCTATTTTTCAAAGAATATTTAATGAAGCAGGAACATTTTCACGGTGGAAAAAACATTCAAACTACTACTTTCTCTCTATAAATCTCCTAAATTCTTTTTTAAAAGGCACGTACATACGGCACTCATTTCTTTGATTCTTTGACAGGTGCTCATAAGACATGCCACCAACTGCCCCCTGCAACTCTCCAAGGGATAGCGACAATAAAAATATGAATTCCAAAACACATCTGAATTTCAAAAACTATTAAGAAAGAATTGTTGGGGGACAGGATCAGTGGCTGCGATGGAGCATGTGTCCTCCCCAGGAGCCAGCTGAAAAAGAACAAGAGGAAATGAAGCTCACTGCGAGGGAGAAGTCATGGTCACTATCTCTCCTGGATTGGGAAATGATGATCTTTGCTCATTTGTGTGTTTTGCAATATTCTGCAATGGGCACACTAACTTTAAAATCAGAAGAAAAACATATTGTTTAATTAAACAAACAAAATGTGTTGCTTCCCAAGAAGGAATTTAAGCTTTGACATTTGTATCATTAGCTATAAAGGTCATTCAGCCCCAACCCTCCTCTTCTTTCATAATACAACTGAAAGGAAAGAAACAGCTTGCAAAGCATTTACCCAATGACACCTAGCGAGAGGGGGTCTGGATAAGAGCAATCAGCTTTTTAGAGATTCTAAATTCTTTAGCTCCCAAAGTGGAGAAACCCTTCTGTAACCACTAAGAGAGGAACGAACACTGTGAGCAAACTAAGGATGATATTACCTTGTGCTGCTCTGGGACAGGCGTGGTGCACTTGTGAGAGTAATCCAAGCCCATCTCCCCGAATGCCACGGCCTTGGGGTGCCTCAAGGCCTGCAGAAGATTTCTCTCTTGACTCTCACTGTAGTAACGTGCAAAATGTGGGTGGCAGCCAAAGGCCCCCCACACCAGATCCTCCTGTAACAGGTCCTCCCAGAGGCCATCGGTCAGGGTGCGAGGATCGCAGAAGTCGGAGATGCAGCCCTGAAACTCCTTAGGGAAGGAGCTGCTGTAAATCTTCCTGAACCTGGTG